AGAGGTAAAATGGGTCGGGTGCTTTCTTCGGGGGGGGGGGGAAGAGATAACAAGCAATGGCTTTTAAAAATCAAATTGATTTAAGTCATGATTTAAATTTATTAAATGTTTTTATAAAAATTAAATCGTCAAAAAAAATCTGATTTTAAAAAATAAATGAACCATGATTTAAATAAATTTGATCGAAATCAAATCCACCCTGGTCTTTGCCACTTTAAAAAAACAAAAATTGGGAAAGTTACTTTTTTTTGCAGAGCTTCCTTCCATTTTTGTGAGCTATGGTCTGAAAAGTTACTTTAAAGCATTTGTTCCCTGTTTTCTGAGAGTGTGATGTGGCTAACGACATTGCCAGCTATATAAAATAAGTTCGACAAATACATAACTAAAGTAACAATAATTTGTGATAGGTAACAAGGTCACTATAAATTTATGAGAAAGTATGAGAAAATATTTTAAAAGTGGGGGACAGGGTCTTCCCCCCTTTACAGCAGAAACAAGAAGCTTTCAAACACAAAAGCAATAGCAATAAATAACAATGCAAGAGCGACCGGAATATTTCAAATATTCAAAAAGCAGAGGTAAGTTAAAAAGAGCAGAATAAAAGGACACGCCAAGTGGTATCCTGAAAAGGAATATCTCTCCCAGGGCTTTGAAAAGGAAAAGCTAGCATATTTTGCAACAATGTGGTTGCTTCTAATAGATAGAGCTCTGTGAAAATGGGTATCTGGCTATGGAGCCAAAGCTCAGGATTTTGATTCTTTGGTGTGCCTCCAGAAGAAGAGCCAGCCTGGGTGGCCTTGGGCCAGCTGCACCGCCCCAGGAAAAACCCAGAAGAAGGGATAGGTAAACTACTTCTGAGTATTGTCTACCTAGAAAACCCTGAAAAAAAATCTAGAATTGACTTGATGCAACATCACCATCATCTTTGTTAAAGTTATTGCCCAAGTGAGGGTTTTTGCTTTCTCTTGGGCCAATATGGCTATTCTTTTTCTTGTTGATTGGTTTGCTTCACTTTGATTTTTCTTCATTATATTCAGTGCTGATGGTACATCTGGAGAGAAGACTTTTCTCCTTCAGGGTTAGCTGAAAAGTGATAACAACAGGTCAAGGCTGACATCTAGTGTCCAAAGAGGGGAATGTCTGATCCGCTCCCCCAACACAACGCAACATATTTGACGTGCCTGGAGTTCAGATTAATGTAAACAGTAATAAAAGCCTCCTGATTGCAAGAAAGTTGACCACACAGTGATGACCACAGCTCTAACGTGGTGTTGTATTCTACAGGAATGGAGGGACCAGCTATGCTGATGAAATAATCATGGCTGTTTATGGATGACAGAGAGATGTTAAGCATCTACCAGGGGACTTACCCAATGTGATGTAGTGGACTGAGTGACAAACCAGGACTCAGGAGGTCCGGATTCAAATCCCCGCTCAGCCGTGGAAGCTCACTGAGGGCGTGGAGTTGGTACAATTACTCCTTTTAAATATCTAATTTACCTTGACATCCCTATTAAGGTTGTTATAAGTTGGTTCCAGTTTGATGGCACCTAACAACCAGGGGACATGGTGACACTGTGGGTTAAACCGCAGATGCCTCTGTGCTGCAAGGTCAGAAGACCAGCCGTCGTAAGATCGAATCCATGCGACGGAGTGAGCTCCTGTCGCTTTGTCCCAACTCCCACCAACCTAGCAGTTCAAAAGTATGAAAATGCAAGTAGATAAATACGAGGTGGGAAGGTAATGGCATTCCATGGCTAGTCGCGCTGGCCACGTGACCACGGAAACTGTCTACAGACAAACGCTGGCTCTACGGCTTGGAGACAGGGATGAGCACCATGCCCTAGAGTCGGACACAACTGGACTAAATGTCAAGGGCAACCTTTACCTTTACCTTTAACAACCAGCAGCCTTAGAATTATTCACACACCCCTTCCTCCAGCCAAAATCAGCAGGAGATCTGATGACTTTCCTGTAGTTTTATCTTAACCAGGGGCGGGCAAACGGGTGTCCTCCAGGACTACAACAGCCATCAGCCTCAGCCAAATAAGAGATGATGATATTTGCAGTCCAGAACATTTGGAGGTTACCAAGTGGCCTACCATGGACTTAAACCGTCACTGCTAAGTGCCTCCCTGAGCAGTTAATTTTTTCCCCATTCATTTATTTACATTTGTGTCCTGGCCTTTCTCCCAGAAGCTAAAAATGCCATATATGGTTTTCCTGTTCCTCTTCTTTTAAAAATATGTCTTTTTAAAAAAAATCTTACAACCCTTTGAGGAAGATCAAGCTGAGAGTTGGTTCTGCAGTGAACCGAGCAAGAAATTTCCTATCGACATTGCCTAGCACTTCAACCACAACACCACACCGGCCTCACACATCAATTTAACATGCTTTGTGGGTCAGTGTGGTACAGTCGGATCTGTTCTTGGGGAGTCCACTGAATCGAAGAATCATCATAAGGCCTGTCTTTAAAAAACAAACAAACCTTGGACCAACTTTAGATCCCAGCCTGCAACCTGCAGCTTAAATGTGTAATTGCTGTTGTTCAGCACCATTAAGTCAGAACCAATTGATAGCAACACCCATTGGACTTTCAAGGCGAGATACTTAAGGAGTGGTTTAACCCCTGCCTCTGTGAGTTTCTGTGGCCAATCAGAACTTGAACCCAGGTCTCTTGAGTTCTAATTTGACTTTCAACCTCTGCCTCCATGAGTTTCTGTGGCCAATCAGAACTTGAAGCCAGGTCTCTTGAGTTCTAATTTGACTTTCTGTCTGTACACCACACTGGCTCCCATAGTTTAAATGCAGCCTTCTAAATAAATCCACTAAGTCTACCAGCTCACAATTGTTTTATTTTTATTACTGGTTACGAAGACAGTAGATGTCATTTTTTTTGCTGGTTGCAGGAATTGGGGAAATCTTGTACAATCTTTGTGCCTATGAGCTTCTTGGCAAGCCAGAGGGAAAAAAAGATTTTCACCAAAAGATTGGGGAGGAGGGAGTGATTTCAAGTGCTCTTATATTTTATAATCTTATAATTTTAGACCTGCAGAGCTGAAAGGGACCCTATGGGTCATCAAGTCCAGCCCTTGTCAAGGAGGCACAGTCGGGAATTGAATTCATAACCAGATGCCTAAACCATTGAGCTGCCCAGCAATCATCCACTCTGTTCCAGAGAGGAGAACTAATATATCAGTAAAAATCAGATGAAATGTGATGCCCTTCGGAAGTTTTTGATAGCGACTCCTATCAACACCAGCCAGAACAGTTGCTGGCAATGCCCAGTTGAAGGTTTAAGCCCCCCCCCTTTGTGGTGTGATTTCTGTTAGCACACCCACTTTAGTTTTGTTTCTGTTCTTCTGTTTCCCATGATTTTCTCATGATTTTTTTTTCAAACAAGGCTCCCTGGGGTTGGCCAGGATCCTGTTGTTGATTTATGTGTGTTTCGCATAACATGTAACAAGCAAAATCATGTAAGAAGATGCCAGTCACATTCCTGGCTGCGTGCCTGCAGCGCGACTTAGCTCATGACCAGGAATGCAACCTGAACACCATCAGTTAGTGGCCACATCTTACACAGTTTCGCTTGCAGCCACATGTATTCTCAGTAGGATTCTGGCCAATCACAGGAATATTAAAATAAAAAAAAAGAAAGGAATGGTAATGTATGTAAATCAACAAAAAGATTCTGAGCACTATTTTTTGTAGTTCTCCAAGGATTATGGGAGCTGTAGTCCGAGATACATGGAGGTGGCTTTCCTCTGCAGAATTCCATAATCCTTGTTTGTTAACTTCTTTTTTGATCCATTGATTTGTCTCTAGAGGATGGAGGGTGGGATTTCAAATCCTTAATATTATTATAGTTTGTTCACCGCAGGGCTGAGTCCATTAAAGATTGGAAGGGATAGTGAAGTGATTCTGGTGCACAAGAAGAGTGTAGCTGCTCCTGCTGGACAGGAGGAGGCAGCAGAAGCTAAGCATAGAACCCATTGTGATGATTAGTGGCTTGAGCTGGTTCCCCTGACTTTGCCGAGAGCTGTCATTTCAGATGCTTCAATGCAAAGCTTTTGAGCAGAGATTATAATTGTGGGGCTTGTCTAGGGTATGTGTATCCCGGTTGCCTTTCCCATTCCCCACCTTAGGTGAGATCGATCTTGTCTGCAAGCTAAGCAGGATCGGACCTGGTCAGTCCTTAGATGGGAGATCATTAGGGGTCTTTAGCTCGGGCTAGGAAAGAATCCTACCTGGACCCTAGAAAGCAGCTTCAGGTTGGAGCTAAGAATGCTGGACGAGGTGGAACAGACTCACCCCAGTGTGGCTCCTGTGTTTCCCATATTGCTATATCCATAAAGCTTGGAAAGGTACGTTTCTGGTCCAAAAGTCCCAGGAGCTGCTCTTCATGACAGTAAGAGATGTTTGTTAGCGGAACAGGCTGCATCGGGCATTGGAATGTAATCCTGACTTCTGAACAGGTGAACCCTCCTTTAAACAGACGTTGAGTGGCCAGGCAGGCCTTAGCTTGGATCAGTGGGGGTTGGACTAGATGACCTTTAGGGTCCTTCCAGCTCTACAAGTCTTTGGTTTAAGTGCCAAAAGGGAGCTTTCCCGTTTTCTGAATATTCATGCATGGAGCATGAGTGTGGGAGTGAGGAGGCAGGAAAGGGCACAAACAAATGTCTACATTTCCCTGTCTTGATCCTCCCCCCTAAACTACAGATTTCTCAAAATAGTTGCTCTTGGTTTCTAAATGTTTTGGTGAGTGAGGGCATTAGAAGTAAAGAAGCCAAGCCCCACAGGGGAAGCTGGTGACTCCAGTTTCCTAAGGACCATGAATCCACATCAGGATTTAGTCTGAACTTTGAAGGCTCTATTCAAGCTTCTGAATCTATATGGAAGATGGTTTTCAGGACCTTGGACAGCTGTAGTAAGGTTTACACTAAAACCTGGCATGGATTAATCTCCCCTATGGAATCAAAGTCACTAGCCACTCCGTGCCCTGTTCCCTTTTATCTATAACAGGAGCACCAGCACTGTGTTCTTTTCAGCCATTATCAGGCATTCCCCGGGCTATGAAGTGGAGGGGAATGAGGGTAGTATTTCAGTGCTGCTGTTCAGACTGCCTTTACAGAGAAAATGTGGACTTATGTGCCAGATTTTGGTGGAAGCCAGAAAGGCAGTAGAGGCAGGTTGGCTGTGGGGCTCAACACGGACCCCTAGCTCTGCTGCTCTTCAGAGCATCCTATGGCTTACCGAGCCAGATTTTCAAACCATGGTTGTCATCCCTGTCTTGCAAAGCTTGCGGAAACCACGGTTTGCCTGTTCTTATCTGATCACTAACCATGGTTTTCACAAACCGCAAAGGTGGACATTAGAGAGGATCGAGAAATTAAGAGACTTATTCCTGTAGCGCATGGATGGGAAATTGCATGTGGTTCCCATGGAAGAAACATTCAAGAAAACAACATTCTCATCTCTCTCCCCCCCCCCCGAAAATTGACAAATGGGGACTTCGTCACATTAGATATTAGCAAAAATGCAGTCTTAAAGCAGGTTATAGTTTTTAGAATCAGAAAGGAAAAACATCCAATTTGCTTAATGTTTACTTCGCAGGGCTGGCATAGCTCCTGTGAGGTCCTGGGGTTGGAGAAATGGGTCCCAGCTTCTTCCCTGTGCCCAGTGCTGCTGTGGCACACTGTCTCGGGTTGGCATTTACAGTGGTGCCTTGCTAGACGATGATAATCCGTTCCACTGAAATCGCTGTTTAGCGAAATCATCATCTAGCGAAAAGCATTTCCCCACTGGAATGCATTTAAACCTGTTTAATGTGTTCCAATGGGGAAGAATCATCTCGGGTTGGCGTTTATCTGTTTTACCGTTTATGTGGCTTACTGTGGAGGTCTCTGTCATATGTCCATGTCTTCACACACAACCCTGCTTTCCTCTCAGGAGCCGTAGAAATCCAGGTCCCCGAGGATCCCGTAGTGGCCCTCTTTGGCCGCGATGTCATCTTACGCTGCTCCTTCTCTCCGGATGCCAACTTCAGCCTGGGTGACCTCAGCCTCATCTGGCAGCTGACGGACACGAAGCGGCTGGTGCCCAGCTTTGCTGAGGGCCGGGACCAGCTGGCTAACCAAGGCAGTGGCTACACCAACCGGACCACCCTCTTCTATGACCAGCTGCCTCGGGGCAACGTCTCCCTGCTCCTCCGCCGCGTACGGATATCCGACGAGGGGAGCTTTACGTGCTTTGTCCGAGTCCAGGATTACAGCAGCGCTGCCGTGATGCTCCAGGTGGCAGGTCCCGTTTATGTGGCTTACCATGGAGGTCTCTGTCACATGTTCATTTCTTCACACACACACCCCTGCTTTCCTCTCAGGAGCTGTGGAAATCCAGGTCCCCGAGGATCCCATAGTGGCCCTCTTTGGCCGCGATGCCATCTTACGCTGCTCCTTCTCTCCGGATGCCAACTTCAGCCTGGGTGACCTCAGCCTCATCTGGCAGCTGACGGACACGAAGCGGCTGGTGCACAGCTTTGCTGAGGGCCGGGACCAGCTGGCTAACCAAGGCAGTGGCTACACCAACCGGACCACCCTCTTCTATGACCAGCTGCCTCGGGGCAACGTCTCCCTGCTCCTCCGCCGCGTACGGATATCCGACGAGGGGAGCTTTACGTGCTTTGTCCGAGTCCAGGATTACAGCAGCGCTGCCGTGATGCTCCAGGTGGCAGGTGAGGCTGAAGGAAGGTGTCGGATAATGGCCTGCCGGTGCTAAAGTATCAAGCCATCGTGGTTTAAGACTTGCAGAGTTAACATTTATGCACATATCACTCTAGAACAGTGGTTTCCCATCCTTGGGTCACCCAGGTGTTCTTGGACTACAACTCCCAGAAATCCTGGCCGGCACAGCTAGTGGTGAAGGCTTCTAGGGGTTTTAGTCCAAGAACATCTGGGGGCACAAGGTTGGGAACCACTGAAAAGCATGGTTGTTTCAGATATTGTTGGAGCACGCTTCTTTATCTCTGGGCATGTTGGTTGGGGGAATCTGGGAGTTGTAGTTCAGGAAGTAACCTTTCCAAGCTCTGCCTTTGTTTTCTATTCTGAGCTTCCTGTTTCTTTTACATGTCTTAGAGGCAAAACAAAAAAACCCAGAAAGCTCCAAATCTATATGATCAGGAAGACTTTTGCTGGATTTGAGGAGATGTTTCCTTTCTCACCTTTGATACACTAGAGATAGGCGCAATCCTCTGGTTTGGCAGTTTGTGCTGGTTTGTTTATCAGCCAAACAGGTGTTCAGCGCTTCAAAGCCTCACCTCCTCCAGCAGGCACCCACGGGGAGGCAGCAGCCTGACTTCCCTGCCCTGCCTCCTCCGGGCACTGAGTGGGTGTCTGCCAGAGGAGGCAGGGCAGAAACACCTGTTTGGCCACTTTGAAATCGAAACACCTGTTCGGCCGCTAAATGAACCAGTATGGACTGCCAAACTACCAGGTCCTGCCCATCTCTATTTGCCACTATTACCAGGGCAGAATGATCATAACAAAGGCAGACGGGAAGGCTCACAATGAAATAGATTTGTTAATCCTAACAGTGCTACAATACTGTTGTCACTTGTGTTTTGTTTTGGTTATTTTCTCTTTGCAACAGTTAGCACTCCTCCAAAAAGATATGTGGCTCACTGGTGAGCATACTATGTATAGGGACACCATGTTTCCATAATTCTTTCTCTTTTTTTCCAATCTCTGTTGCCTTTTGACAAAGCCAATTCCGAGATTCCTAATTGCCATCACTCTGGAAGGGTATCTAGCAGTTGTTGTCCAACACCTGATCTTCTGTTGTTCAGCGGCTTCCGTTAACGATAGGCACAAATGGCCTGCTGTTCTTCTCCTTTTTTTTCCCAGCATTTTATTCTAAGCCCAACCTGAACCTGGAACCCAACAAGAACCTCAAGCCGGGAGACCCGGCCACGGTGACCTGCCACACTTTTTCCGGCTACCCCGAGGCGACCGTCCTCTGGCATGACGGCCAAGGCAACAACATCACAGAGAACATCACCACCTCCCAGGTGGCCAACGAGGAAGGCCTCTTTGACGTGCGGAGCGTTCTGCGGGTGGTGCTGGAGCCCAACAGCACCTACAGTTGCTTGGTGAAGAACCCCCTGCTGCGCCAAGAGACCCACGCCTCCGTCACCATCACTGGTCAGCTCCTGGGGTGTCGGGGAGGGGTGTGGGAGACTTGATGAGACGGGGAGCCCTCCCTGAATGCCAGCTGAAGCAGTGGTCCCCAAATTTGGGCCTCCAGATGTTCTTGGACTTCAACTCCCAGAAATCCCGGCCAGCAGAGGTGGTGGCGAAGGCTTCTGGGAGTTGTAGTTCAACAACATCTGGAGGCCCAACGTTGAGGACCATTGAGCTAAAGGAAGCAGGGCATTCACTTGAAATGCGTTTCTCCAAGGGCGGTGATGCATTTTGCCATCAACATTCCATGGTGCAATTTCCAGGAATGCTTTAGGGCCATGTGAGCCCAGGGGAACCCATGTGCCACCAGAGTTTGATGAAAGCCTACCATGGTAATATTTCGCCATAGGTGCAGCTGGCTAGTGCTGTTGGGAATTGGGAGTCTAGTAAGGTTATTCCCACACTCAGTGTCTATACCGATTATGGGTTGATCAATCCTGGCAGTGGAGTGACAAATGAACTGCTGGATGGCTCAGTGGTTTAGGCATCTGGCTATGGAGCCAGAGGTTGGGAGTTCGATTCCCCAGTTGTGCCTCCTTTGACAAGGGCAGGACGTGATGAGCCATTGGGTCCCTTTCAGCTCTTCAGTTCTGATTATTCAAACCCGATGAAGGGACAAGGTCATGAAGAGTAGTGGTTAGAGTATTGCACCCAGACTGGCGCAGTGGTGCCGTTCAGCTGGTTTGCTTCCTGGACAATTCATGTTTGAGTCTTTGCCTGAGTTTTCAGGAGGCAGCCGTACGGAACCTGGCCTAGCCCAAACACAAAGGGGCAGGATCGCAAATGGCAGATTTTTTTTTGGTGAAATCTCTGTAACCAAAAGGATTGATAACTTTTTACGTTGACTGGTGACATGCAGATGTTGGAAGGTACTAAGTGATGCCAATAGAAAATGAGCTCATCCATTTAGAAAATACCTCTCCTTCCAGAGAGTCCCCGAGGGCCAGATTTATCCTGAGGACTCGATGTCCCCCACCCTACTTATGTTTCTTAGGACATACATGCCTTGTCTCCCTCCTTAACAGGGACCTGAGCCCTCCATCGCAACCTTGCTCCCTCTGCTGGGTGAGCAAACGGGAGCCTCTTATTTAGCTCAGCCCTGGCTACTTTTATTTCTAGCAGCAATGGCTAGTCTGTGGCCTTCCATTGTTGAGCTGCAAATTCTGTGGGATCCCTTGGCGTGGGATATTTTGGTGACGGTCACTCGGGGTAGCGGTCCAGCCCCATCTTGTTGCCCAACCTGACACTGGTTGAGTTCAATAGGCTTACAGTCGTGCCCCGCTTTGCAATTGCCCCGCATTACGACGAAACCGCATTACGACGACGTTTTTGCGATCGCAAAATGATGGTCTGAATAGGCTTTTTTCGCTTTGCGATGATCGGTTCCCTGCTTCGAGAACCGATTCTTCGCAAAATGCCGATTTTCCTACAGCTAATTGACGGTTTCAAAATGGCCACCGGGTAAATAAAATGGCTCCCTGCTGTTTTCTGGGATGGATTCCTCACAAGATAGCCACCGAAAATGGCCGCCCTATGGAGGATCTTCGCTGGATGGTGAGTTTTTAGCCCATTGAAACGCATTAAACGGGTTTTAATGCATTTCAATGGGTTTTTTATTTTCGCATTACGATGTTTTCATTCTACAGCGATTTCGCTGGAACGAATTAACGTCATAATGCGAGGCACCACTGTATTTTGAAATAAACTGCAGTCCCGCCGTGCAGTCCTTGCCTGGTCTCTTTGGACTTAAAGCAAATTTCAGCGGGACATGCTTCCAGAGGGATAGGCTGAGGACTGGAGCTTTTTGGAGGCTCTGTCTGCTGAAGTTTGGTCTCTCTTTAAAAGGCTTCAGTGCCTCCTGTTCAGGTGATTTGTCTTGGTTCCTTGGAAGGGCTTCTGATTGTCTTCACGCCAGCTCAAGTTTTATAGACCCCCCTCAAGCTCTTTGTAACCTTGTTCACTTGCAGGTAACATTAATTAGTGCTTAATTATCCTTGGCACAGCAATGGCTGGCTTGTGAAAGAGGGTCTCCGAAGGAGCATAAACCTTTTGGCGTAAAGCATGGCGCCTCTCAGAGAGTGACGGAGGAGGCCTGGGCACACAAAGCCTGTTGGTGCCTTCCTTCTTTGGCATCGCTGAGCCGGTAGGGCAGGTTCTAGTATTAGAAAGAGGCTGACCCACATACGTGGGGATATACATGTGTATCTTGCATGTCCTGGAATTCTGCATGAAATAGGGGCCAATTTCGCAACCTAAAACCACAGATTCTGCAATGGGAATACATTTTATGGAAGCCAAACATTTTTCCCCTTGCTGATATGTGTATGTGAGTCTGTGAGTTAGATATCTGACTGCAGTGCCAGACATTGGCAGTTCGATTCCCTACTGCGCCTCTTTTGGCAGTAGATCAAGCCTATGTAGTCTCGGGCAAACTGCACAGTCCCAGAGTGGCCCCAGGAGAAGGGAATGCTAAAACACTTCAGAGTATTTTCTAATAGAAAAGCATGAAAAGGGCCAACATAAATCAGAATTGACTTGATTGCACACAATTCTGTATATGTATATGCATACATGTATACGTATAGTATGTTATATGTTGTCAAATTGGAACCGACTTATTGTGACCCTAATAAGGCTTTCAGTGTAAGCGAGATATTTAAGGAGTGGCTTTACCAGTTCCACTCACCTGGTGAGTTTCCATACCTGAGCAGGGATTCAAACCCTGGCTTCTTGAATCCTAGTCGGTCACTCCATCCACTCTACCACAATATGGAGGTGGCTTTGAGGGTAGTTTCTTTAGCAACAAGGGGTATAAAATGTCTGCTTCTGCTCTGACAGGTAAAACCAAAGACAAGACCCCTGTGGCATCTTAGAGCGTTTTGTCTGGTGCTGTATTTGGTTTGGTGACTTCTAATTTTGGAAGGTGCTGTGATTTTTGTACTGTATTTGGTTCGGTGACTTCTGATTTTGGAAGGTGCTGTGATCCACCTTTACAAAGGTTGTTGTTGTTTAGTCATTTAGTCGTGTCCGACTCTTCGTGACCCCATGGACCAGAGCACACCAGGCCCTCCTGTCTTCCACTGCCTCCCGGCGTTGGGTCAAATTCATGTTGGTTGCTTCGATGACTCCGTCCAACCATACTGTATTTGGTTCGGTGACTTCTGATTTTGGAAGGTGCTGTGATCCACCTTTACAAAGGTTGTTGTTGTTTAGTCATTTAGTCGTGTCCGACTCTTCGTGACCCCATGGACCAGAGCACACCAGGCCCTCCTGTCTTCCACTGCCTCCCGGCGTTGGGTCAAATTCATGTTGGTTGCTTCGATGACTCCGTCCAACCATCTCATCCTCGGTCGTCCCCTTCTCCTCTTGCCTTCACACTTTCCTAACATCAAGGACTTTTCCAAGAAGTCTTCTCTTCTCATGAGATGGCCAAAGTATTGGAGCCTTAGCTTCAGGATCTGTCCTTCTAGTGAGCACTCAGGCTTGATTTCCTCCAGAATGGATATGTTCTCCTTGCAGTCCAGGGCACTCCCAAGAGCCTCCTCCAGCACCACAATTCAAAAGCATCAATTCTTCAATTCCCTATTTGTACATACACATGAATATTTTTGTTTGGCCCTTCTCCATCCCCCCTCCCTGGTCATTCTCGTCCTCAGCCCATGCTCTTTCCCCATTTTCGCCACACTTGCCATACCCGTAGCAGTCATTATGACCAATGTTGACCTTGAAAGAAAACATGCACATTTCGTTAGTGATCTCAGTTTTGGTAAGGTGGAATTGTGCAGCTTTATTGGCCCACCCGCAGGGAGGGCTGTATGAACAGTCACGGAAACAGCATCCGTTCCATCTGGCCCTGTGTGCCCTAGGGTGGGACCTCCTGCTTCTCTCAGAGCAGACTTCCCCAGCCTGATGTTCTCCAGATGTGTGGGACCACAATTCCCAATAGCCCCATCATCATAACCAGTGGCTAGGCTGGGACGATCAGAGTGGTAATCTAACATATCTTGGGAAGATTGGCTCACACTGTCCTACAGGCATATAAAAGAGATTGAAATTCCGTATTTGGTTATAGTCTTACTTTTCTTTGCATGCTGCCCTCTCTCTCTCTTTGTGCCCCTCCCTGACTCCTGGTCTCTTAATTATACAGTTATCTCAAATGCCAGAGGTCTGCATTGCAGTCCATACATGTCTACTCTAAAGTAAGTGGTATCGACACTGTGATACAGACTCCCAGGAAAGTGGCAACAGAAATGCAACCATCGATCTTTTCAAAGTCATATGATGTCTTCCTATAAAATTGAGATAAGAGAGGCAAGGCAGCCAAATACACCTCTATCTCCCTCCCCCCCCAAATCCAAAACTTCTTTCGCTATTAATTTTGCTAGTATTGCAGCCTTCCCCATTTTAATGGAAGACTATTTTAATTTAAAAATGAATTGCTGCAATTCCATTTAACTCAAAAATCTCGAGAAACTCTAGATGAGGGGAAGAGGTAATTTTTCTCTTGCCTCATGGAACCCCCTGTGTGATAGACTCAGGAGCAGAGTTATCTGGGGTCCCCCAGATGTACGGACTACGCTTCCCATGATCCCTGACCATTGGCCATGTTGCTGTTGCCAAGTGCCATCAAGTCACTTTCAACAGATGATGACCCTAATAGGTAGAAATGTGCAGGTTTATATTTTTGGGCCACAAGCCCCAGAATTCTGGGAGTGGCAGTCCAAAAAAGCCACGAACCTACACCCGGACACCGATAAGATTCTTGAGATATGTGAAATGCTCAAGACTGGTTTAACCTTGGCGCCATCCACTGAGTTTCCTTGCGTGGATGGGGATTTGAACCCCAGTCTTCTGAATCCTAATCTGTGTCATACACCACTGGTTTTCATGGCCCTGCTGGCTTGGGTGTATGGGAGTTGTAGTCCGAAAGATCTAGAACACAGCAGGTTCATCCCTGATCCAAGCAGCAGCAACGAGCCTTTGACATGCGTGTGATCCTGAAGTGTGTGATGCATTTCAAGATAGGACCCTTGAAGAGACGATACAGAGAAGTGCCTCGGTTTTTCTACAAAGCATCGGAGAATAGGATGGGTTTGCAGTCTTCCACTCACCGCATCTCTCCGCGAAGAGCCCCCTCCGTAGCGAATCTGTCATGTTTGAAGTACCTTTAGCCGAGCCTCCGAGCCTCCTTGCAAAGTGAGACAAATCAGCATCTATTTGAATTTATTAGCATAATTATTTAAAGGTTAATGAAGTGTTTTATAGAGCAGTTCAGCCCGCTGTTTCCTTGCCTTCTCTGGTGCATCCACCAAGTCCTGCGGACAGGCAGCCGTCGGACCTTCTGCCGGCACCGCTCGACCTTTTGATTCCGAACTATCGGAATGCACCGTTGTACTTCGTCAGCTCTAATGAGCGCCGCATGGAGTCAAGTGCCAGGCAGGCACCGTGAGTTCCTGGAAGGACAGATGAGCCCAGCTGAGTTTGGTTTCACAGGAAATATTTCTTTAACTGCTCCGTCTCCTGCTGGCCTACCTTCTCTACCCTAAAACTCTTGAGAAGTGACTCCATTTGGAGGACGACTCCCAGGATAGCTCAGCCAGCCGGAAGCCCCAAGGGATTATGCTTACTAGAGGATTCTGGGTGTTGTGCTCTAAAATAGTGGCCCCCAACCTTGGGCCTCCAGATGTCCCTGGACTACAACTCCCAGAAGCCTTCACCACCACCTCTGCTGGTCAGGATTTCTGGGAGTTGAAGTTCAAGAACATCTGGAGGCCCAAGGTTGGAGACCACTGCAAGACACTTCCTTAACTCTGTGCCAGATGTGGTTGAGAGACTTCCTTAACTCTGTGCCAGATGTGGTTGGGCCACAACTTCCATCATCCCCTTGTGACCAGTGGTGGTGGATAATGTGAGTTGTACTCTTATCATCTGAAGGACTACACAAGCCCTGATCTAGACGTGCATCCATTACTGTTAATGTACTGCCTCTTTGGATCTATGCAGCATTGTTGTGTGCGTGCGCATGTGTGTGCGTGTGTGTGTGCGTGCCTGTGTGTGTGCGCGTGCATGCATGTGCAGCTAAACATGAGGTGGCCCCTGGCCTCACCTGCTCACCTTCACATACTACCTTGCTTTCTTCAAGGCTGTTGACAGTGACCGTGTATTTTTCTTCTTCTTCTGTCCCATCCCCTCTCTTCTCCTCTTCTCCTCCTTTCCAGGTCAGCACCTCCTGTTTCCAGCTGTGGCCCTCTGGGTCACCGTGGGGCTGGCCATCTGTCTCGTGGTCCTCCTGATTGCTCTGGCATACGTCTGTCAGAAGAAAATCCGTCAGACCTGCAAAGAAGAGAAAGAGAAAGCCGGTAATTGTAACAGGATGGTAGCTCCAGTTGCTGGTGCCTGCTTTTTTGTTGTTGTTGTTGTTGTTGTTGTTGTTGTTGTTGTTGTTGTTGTTGTTGTTGTTTGCTCCCTTCCCCACTCCAGTCCACCAAGAGATGGGAACCAATAGTGATTTCCCAAGTCTAGACTATCTGGGATATAGAAGCTATTGTGCAAGGTTTTGACAGTAGTGTGTTTCTTTTTT